TTAGTAAATTTGTCACACGTGAAATAGTGTATTGTATGCAGGATCAATAGTTAACAGCTGTTTAAATAATCATTTAAGAAAAATTAATAAATAATAAGTTGATTTTAATTATAATTTATCATCATGCTAATCATCAAGGATCATTAGCTAAGCCTTCTGCTTTGATTTCACAGTAGTTGCAGATGATTTCATCGCTAAAACTGTTAGGAATATATCTTACTCATGACTTTGAATGAATGTGCATTTTCTATTAACTTTCCACCTAGTATACAATATTTATTTTTGTTTCTGGTTTGTTGTTCTCTCAACAAGCTATATTTTTCCTATTCCCGAAACTGATGTTAATACATTTGAACAAATTCATATTCAAACTATCGGCTCTTTTTCAAATCACGTTTGTTTCGAGTTCCAATCTTCTGAATTCCTCATCACATTTATCTTTCTCTTTTTAAATTTATTTCTTTGAATTGTAATTCTTGAATAATTTCCTACCGTTAATACTTCTACTCTTTCTACTACTATGGGATTTGAATTGATAATTGCGTCTCTGTACTAATATGGTATGGCAACCTGAACTTATGTACGTACATCCGAAGTTCTATTTTGTAAATGACTGATTGACTAGAAGTCTGTATGCTAAGTTTGTTCCTCATTTTATCAGCGTAATCGAGACTGTTAACTGACCAGTCTCATATTAACATTCAATCTGATCATTAGCAAATGACCGTAGTTAAAAATGTAATCCTTTTTGTGCTTTTTTTTTGGACAGAATGCCGCTGGACTCTGCGTTCTTTCCTCTCAACATCTGTGTCAACAAAGTTCCTCGTGAGATGGTGGAGAAAACTTGTAGCTCAGGTGGATGATTGTGGTGGTGTTTCGTTCTCTGAGCTGGTTGTTTTGGTTGTGAAGCTTTCATTGTTCTTCTTTTGAACAACATCATCAGCACAAACTTCAGATAGAAGTCTATCTATCTATGATGTTGTTCAGAAGAACAATGAAAGTCCCACAACCAAATCATCCAGCTCAGAGAACAATACACCACCACAAAGTTCCTCGTAGTTATACAAGTTATTAACAAGCACAAATTTGTCATGGTCATTAGTCCTAGAATAAATGGACTATTTTTTATCATAAAAAAATAATGATGATAAATTGCTGTTTTATGTCGATATTATATTCTGATGTATCACTTTTCGGACTACTCAGTTCTAATTGCCCTTTACTATTGGTTTCGTTGGATTCAAAGTATAAGTAGTTATGGTATTACTCCCTTCTTCTGAATTGATTAAATGCACTAAATTTGCATTATTACTGCAGTTGTTCTTAGACAAGCTTGACATCATTCATTTGCATAGGTAAACAAACACATTTAACTTGATTTTCCACATAATTAACATGTTTTAACACGATTTATTGCTTTGTATCACTCGAAAATTGTTTACGTGGATCACGTGGTGTCTCATTTATCTTGACGCTTATGAAGAAATTTACTTCGTTTTATTTAAATTGCTTTTTGTATACAGCTACAACTCGAACGGGCGAAAAATGAGCAGTATGTAGTGTCAAGAACAGTTATTTGTATTATTAGTATTGTATCGGTTCAATGAATATTTTTTAAACGCCAACTGAAATCAATGTTACCCTTTTGTTTTCTTTTTTTTCCGATTTCACATATTCCGAGATGTACTACATTAGATCATGTATGTATACTTTCTAGTTTAAGCTATTTATCAGTATTCTTCATGTAAATCTATAATACCAAACTAAGACTGTGATAATCTTCAATTTCTGAATTTGTTTGAGAAAACCTAATTTGTTCACTTAAAAAGTTTAAGCTTTATAGCTCCAGTATAGTCTAGACTTCTATTAATAATCAGCCGTAGCGAAGTGATAAGACTGTCGTCTGATAGATGTTGACTAGATCATTTTATCTTAACCTGTACAAATTTACAATGAGATCTAGCAGTGAATATATCATTTCTCCATAAAACACTTGATAATTCATTACTTCATTAATAACTTGCTCCAAACACCGATTGGTATTGGATCAGATTAGTTGAGAGTAAAATTTGCTGCTCACCATATCAAATGAGAAACTGATTGAATTATGGAAATGGTAATTATTTGATTTCATATAGATAGCCAGACCAATTTATTTGCCTCAAGTTGCTGGAGTTAGTTATCCGGTCCCATAACCGTTTTCCTTAACCTGAATAAAACAGCTATCAAGTATCCTTTAATTTTAAAGCTAATATTATTTCGAAACTCAATTAGTATTAGAAATGTTTTTGTGAGTGTTAATGTGTTCAAGCTCCCTAATATTACTTTGAAAACTAATAGAGTAAATTTAGAGCAGTTTCTTTCTGATGCTTGTAAGTAATCTGTAGAACTGGATAAAATCAGATGCGGATGTTTGTGATCACCATCAGCTCATGATTAAAAGCTTTTCTTGAAAAAAAGCGTTATAACTGCGGTAACCGCATACTTGTGAATGGGAAAACCTTAAGGTATTCACGATGCAAGATGATAAAACTGATGACCTATGCAGAATTTGATCATCCTCCAAAAATACGACAACTATTTAACTAAGTTGTATTCAGTTTGTGAAACAATTTTACTGATATTTGATGACTATTCACTGAATATGATCGAAATAGGAGAAAAATAAAAAAATGAATTTTACATCTAATCACTACAAAGCGCATGATGCATATTATAACTGACAAGAAATCACTTAGTTCTGTTCAACTAGAACAAACTGAAACTATAAAATTAAACATTTGTTTGTTAGAAAACAAAATAGAACATAAAATCGATACAGCATATTGAAAAGAGAAATCGAACTATCAAGAATATGTGAAAACATTCTGATTGATAACTGAATAAAACACTAAATTTTTAGTATTCGATAATTATAATTACAGAACTCTGTTTATTGTTTCTTAAAAAAGACTGTAAGCTTTGGCTTTAGTATTATTAATAAGAAATATTTTCTGAAATCCATACTTCTGGCGTTATGTCATAGATAGAGAGATAGATCTTTGTCATTTTAAATAGTTGGAAATGAATGTATCCTAAAAGATTTGAAAAATATTCAATACTCTTAAAATAATCTGTGTTAGTTGTTTTAATCTTACCATTGGTGTTTAGAAAGAAGAGCTGGAAGTGGATAGGACATAAATTGAGGAAAGCTCCCAGTTGCGTCACGAGACAAGCCTTCACTTGGAAACCTCAAGGTCAAACGAAAAGAGAAGACCAAAACAAACATTACGCCAAGAAACAGAGACAGACGTGAAGAGAATGAACAACATATGAAAAGGACTAGAAAAGTAGGCCAAGGACAGAGTAGGTTGGAGAATTCTAGTGGGTGTCCTATGCTTTATTGGGAGTAACAGGCGTAAGTAAGAAAGTAAGTGTTTAGGAGTGCAAATGATGTTCCTTTTAGCGTATTTGAATCCTCTGCGGATTGTTTCAGTATTGCCTATCGGCCACAAGCATTATAAACAGAGTTTAACAGTGGCTAACAGAGGAATCCAAGAAATGTGCTTCTTCCTGTACCTGCATCTCAGAATTAATGTTCACCCTGGAAATTTTAGTCAACTACATTTATAAGTCTTAAAGTTACTTTGTATGTTAGCTGATCATGTCCAATTAGGTGTTTAGGAAGTAAAATCTTATCCACCATGTTGGGATGTTCGCTTGTATTCTTCTGGAAAGCAAAACTAGCTATAGCTGGTGTACACTATTCCACAAGAAAAGTGACCATGTCAAAGCATATGTTGATGACGAAAATGGGGTGTTTATGTTTGAACAATACAAAAAATAGTTTATAGATTGTAACTGTTAACTGTAATTTGTATGCATAAAACATCGTCCTCAAATCATTACGTCAAGACGGGATAGGATTCAGTGTTTCGCAGTGTGAAAGCTGCTCAAGCACTTACGTCTCCCCGACAAAACATTAAGTCGTCTACAAACGATTTAGTATCCTCACGCTCATACCACAATTAGATATCGTGTCGACCCCCGTACCCCAAAATCCGGAGCACGGTTTATGGTCATCGCTCTGGCATAACACCAGACCTAATGGGCCTAGCCGAACACATAGTAATTTGTATGCATAAAACATCTTCTTAATCTCTTCAGAAAGGTGACTCGTAATTATGCCTATTGTCTGACCACCATTCATTGCCTAATCTATAAAGTTACTTTTAGAGGACAGAATTTCTTTATGCTTAAAATAGTTTTGCCTCAGATGAATTGACTAATAAAAGAATATTGATGTGTGTTTTTTATCTCAATGAAGTTGAACTATCAATTAAATAACCTACAGGATCGTTTAATGAATTTCTATTCTTGCTTAATTTCATTCGAACATTATGAATCTCATTTTATTTTAATTTCCATTTTGAATATTTACATGTAAAACATATCAGCTATGTATTGAATAGAGCATGCACTATTTGTGTTATGATATTTAACAATAATATTTCATGTTTCAAATTTTGCTAACTACTTCGATTATTAAGAAGTAAGCTTATAGTTGATCTAACTAAAGCCATAATAATTATCCCTTTATGTGTTTGCTTCACAATCTCTTTTTTGAAAAATAAAAGTCCTGCAAAATTTTTCTTATCTTTTTATTAGGTACACTTCACTTGCATGTATTATGTGTATATGCATATCTACTTATGCAAATTTACATTTTAGGACATATAATATTTAGTTATTATTCACAATGTCTTCATTTATATATATATATATATATATATATATATATATATATATATATATATATGTATATATATATATATACATGTATATCATGTGCATATAAATGCTGAAACAAACATATGCATTTATTTGAGTATTCCATTGGAATAACACTAAACTGTTGTCATAGCGTTTTCATTTGTCCATTTTCTTAACTTTATGTGGGTGTTTTAGTCTCGATTTAAAGGTCATTTGTTTGTTTTATAATGCATGTATTCTAGTAAAACCAGCACTGGATACCAAATGGTTCCTATTTCATAATTTGTATAAATGAGAAACACCAAAATTTAATAGAATTCTTTTTCTTAACTCTGCAACGAAGAAATTAATTGGATTTCAATTTACAAATGGTAAATTATTTCTTTAAAGATGTCTAAACTATCATTTCTTTTTTTTTTTTTTTTAAAGGATCAATCTAATTTAAATGAAGTTCGTGAAGAAACTGAATGGGAACAATGTTCACGTAATCGAGATGTTGCAAGATTTGTAAAAACAAGAAATTTAGTTGAAAGAAGTCGACTTCAATCTTTACGATCTCAATTAGACAAACAATTAGAATGGGAATTAAAACGTCTTTCCATAGAACGACGTGAATTTGCTGATGTTTTAGAAAATTTACGTAAACGTCATGAAAAAGTTGATCGAAGAAATGTTCGAACATTAAAAAATAATCTTAATCAAAATTTTTATATTTGTGAAAGAAATAGAAAACATGACAGATATCTGAACTCTGTGAATATAAATGATATTTTACCTAAAGGATTATTTAATTATACTACTACAAATAGTACAAGTAGTACAAGTTCATCTGTTTTGTCTATTCCAAAAGTAATATCTTCACCGGATTTAACTAGACTTCTTAAAAATCGGAATGATAATAATCATAATAATAATAATAACAATCAACATTCAAATCCTATACCGAAAATACATACAGAGATTTCAAATTCAACTGAAAAAGTTTCACAACCAAATATCTATCACTTGATGTATACAGATTCCGGTGAATGGATACATTTAAACAAGCCTAATTTGAATATATCAGCACCATCCAGTGCTTCGAAATCATCCGCTTCATCAAAAAGTATGAAATGTACAAAATCTTGGTCCGAAAATGATTAGATGTTGACATAGATCAATGTTCAATGTGTGCACATGTCCAAACATCGAGAACTGCATAAATTCGTATTTAAATACACTTTTTTTTCGCACATTTTTATTTATAATCTTTTGAAGAGCAGCTCTGTTTAATCTTATTTCCATTAAAATTTAAATAAGTAGATAATTCTGTGAATATCAGATTTTATGCTTTAAAACAAAATCATCATATGTTTTCTTAAGGATTTTAAGAAATGCAAATTAAGAGTTAATACTGATTAATTGTGTTCTCTCTTGATTCAATCGTACAAATAAATTATGATCGACTTACCTATCTTGCAAAATAATTGTAACCATGTGTATTTTTAAACTTTTCAATGATAGATATATTTATGTTGCATTTAACTTTTAAAGGATGGATAAACAGATTGAAAAATTTTCAAATGTTACATATTCCTCAGTAAGCTGTATGTACAGATTATGATCGATATAGAAGTACACAGAGATCCAGGTAAAAATTTTTTTTGTAATTCACTGTTTGAATTATGTTTTTATCATAATAACAATAATTATCAGAAATGTGCAGTTTTATACAATCCCTAAGTAATTACTGTACAATGAAAGAGTTAAAGAATAAACTTTTGAAAAATACTTACTTACTTACTTTCGCCTGTTACCCCAAATGGAGCATAGGCCGCCCACCAGTTTTCTCCAACCAACTCTGTCCTGGGCTTCCCTCTCCAGTTCTGTCCAATGTTTGTTCATTCCTCTCATATCTTTCTCTATTTCACGGCGTAATGTATTCTTTGGCCTTCCTCTTTTCCTTTTGCCTTGAGGGTTCTATGTGAGGGCTTGTCTCGTGACGCAGTTAGGTGCTTTTCGTAGAGTGTGTCCAATCCACTTCCAACGCTTCTTCCTGATTTCCTCCTCCACTGGAATCTGACTTGTTCTCTCCCACAGTTCGTTGTTGCTGATGGTGTCTGGCCAACGAATACGAAGTATTTTACGTAGACAGCTGTTAATAAACACTTGTAACCTCTGGATGATGGCTTTGGTAGTTCTCCATGTTTCCGCTCCATACATTAGAACTGTCTTGACATTTGTATTGAAAATCCTTATTTTGGTGTTGATTGATATCTGTTTGGAGTTCCAGATATTTTTCAACTGTAGAAATGCAGCCCTTGCTTTGCCAATCCGTGCCCTCACATCTGCATCGGATCCACCTTGATTGTCGATGATGCTGCCCAGATATGTAAAGGTGTAAATGTCCTCCAAGGCATCTCCATCAAGAGTGATTTGATTGGTGCATGTTGTGTTGCATCGGAGAATTTTGCTCTTTCCTTTATGTATGTTGAGACCTACTGCTGCAGAGGCTGCTGCTACACTCGTCGTCTTCTCTTGCATTTGTTGTTGAGTGTGCGATAGAAGAGCCAGATCATCTGCGAAGTCCAAATCGTCCAGCTGCGTCCTAACTGTCCAGTTGATACCGTGCTTCCCTCCAGCTGTTGACGTTTTCATAATCCAGTCGATGACCAGGAGAAAGAGAAAGGGTGAGAGTAAGCAACCTTGCCTCACACCGGTCTTTACCTCGAAAGAGTCGGTTAGCTGTCCTCCGTGCACGATTTTGCAGTTGAATCCATCATAAGAGTAGAACCTTCGGGGCTACTGCCGGTCCCAAGCCCGGGTAAAGGAGGAGGGTTGGACATGGGGTTGGCGACCCCATTCCGTCAAATACTAACTTGCCAAAAAAACGCTAACCAGAAAAAATAATTCAAACCATTTTGAAAAATACTACTGCTTAATTTTTCTAGAAATAATGTTAATTAGGAAGGAACAGATGAAGTGAATGAATTCTTACATGTACTAAAATATCACCATGTAAAGATGATCTATTTTCATTAGTTGACAGATATATCAGTAAAATCTATGTGTTGATAAAACGGACGAAAATTATAGGAACTAGTTTAAAGAGAAGCTGTCAAATTGATGTCATGGGTTAATCAATGAATCCACTTTATTTTATTCATCGTTGAATGATAATACTATGTTGACTTATCACTCGGAATCAAACAAACTAGTTATATTTTGCTTACGAAGGAAATAATAAATGGCACATATATAGAATCTATTAAACTTTTGTTAAAAGTACACTTTACAGACTAATTAATCATGTTTCAGATAGGAGCTACTAAATTCAGAAACACATTGATGGAGAGCTTGTATCTTATTGAAAGCTACGTAAAATTGACCAATATTCAGTAATTAAGACAGGTCTTGATATTGCAGATTGAAAAGCTGTCTACACCATAAAGCACTATCCACCCTATTTGTAACCACTACTCTTAACACCTAACCAATACCATTAACTCTAACACTAAATACAAATACTTGGAGTCATTAAAAGATAACTGACAAATTTTGTGTCTGGTGAGGTGGTAGGGAATAAAATTCGAAAATGTCAACCGCTTTAGTTTTCTTAAAAATTATTCATGTGATTGATTTGATCTAATGCCATTACTGTAAAACAGATCAATTATAAAGTCACTGTTTTAGTAATACCCACCATTTCTCCTTGTAATCTGATTGGTTGGGTTCTATGGGTAACCGATACTTGTTATTGGTTGATCGAATCATAGGTTTATAAAATGTCTTACCTGGTTCTTATGTTGGAGAAATATTTCCTAGCGCCCGACTATAATTACTGATGAATATAGACAATGATATTTGACTACTTTGTTAATGGGTTCACTGTTCAAACATGTATAAAGATCTAAAACAATACTGAATGCCAGTTCAAACATGTTCAATATTTAGTTCTGTGTATAGTTAGAGTTTAAATCACTAGATTTGACCTGCCAGAAAAATTCAACATATGTGTATACCATTATCATTATCAATCAATTAATAAGGTAGTTGGTTTTTTAGTTATGTGTCATCCTTTGTAGATCATCTAACCAAAATTACAACTTTTGGAAAAAGAGTTAGAAATGACGTCCTTCATTCAAGTTAGGATTAACTAAACAATAAAAATGACATCGACGCGTGAGTGAAAAAATGTTCTATCAGATAATGGTATTTCCCTAAACAATACATTCGAAATTACACATAATTTTATCATGTATTGTCTATCATGAAATACAATAGTTACTTGTAAGCTGTTATTAAATCCATCAAAAATGTAAGAAGCATGTCAAACAGATAATTAATACAATTGTAACAGTCTTCTATTTACTGTTTAACCTTAAACTGGCTAGTCTGTCTGGAGAAATTACCGATCCCAGAAAAACAAAACTTGTTTTCATACTTATTATTGTGCAGTAATGCTTCATACTTTCTATGCTATACATGATACGAAATTAGTTCTTGCACGGCTATTTCTATTGGATGAACGGACTGTTGTCAATATATTTGAAAAAAATGAGACATAGTATTAAATCTGTTTTTGAAGAGGCCCTATAAAAGGGCCATGTTCTGTTCTCATTGAACGCTAGTGGATATCTAGAATGAAAGGTATTATTTCAGAACCTACGACTACATATCATAACTGTAACAATCTATGCACAAGAGGTCACCCTCATCGGTCCTTGTGGAACAGGCAAGATGACTAGCTATGCTGCATCTCGAACATCTCACCCATTCACTGGAACTGATTTTGACTCTTGGTGGTTTGAACAAGTGACATCCTGCACAATTATTTCCATTTCCATTGTCTGATTCGTCACTAGATTCAGCGATTTCATTATTCACATGCATATCTCCTTTCGCTTCAGCCCTGTCCTCACTAGTTACATTAGCATCAAGATCTGTGTTTCGGCAAGCATCGTATTTGATGTTGATTTCTTCCATTTCTTGGTGGATGCAAATAGATAACGATTCCCTAAGGTTGTTATAAAGATAGTCAAATGTATTTCAGTCAATAATGTCTTACAAAAATCACCAAAATCATGGTTGTTGTGATGTAATTAATCGCCGAATTTTCTTATTACAGTGAATCTGCATAGAATACATACCTTTTCGAAAATTAAATGAGCTATTTTATTTTCAATGATTGTTTCTGTAATAATCAAAATTACGAACACTGAAATTATATAAATTTAAGTGTGCTATATGTGCGGATATTTTGTTTGATTCTATATTTAATGGTGTGAATTACTAGTTGCTTGAATACAATTATACTACTGCTACTGTAATTCTCGTGCTCATTAAAGAAAGAAATATTCTCCTGATAAATTAAAAGATACTAGTACCAAGTCAAGATGAATAGGTTGTCACTTATTATTTAATTTATTTCTACATATTTTCGAAAGGATTATCAACAAAAATTAACTTTAGAAATGATAATGGAAACTGTAAGTTTGATTTTTTATTTTAAGCGAACACCAATTTTGTACAGCATGGCAAACATACATTTAACTGGACTAATTTAAGTTTATAATTTTCAACCATTGAGCTTTATGTAATAAATTAAATAGATTGTAAACTTTGTCATGTAAAACAATTACACATTGATTGATTAACATTTAGGACTGTTGTAGAGTAGATGAGTAATAATTACTCGCCATATCTATAGCAACTAACAAAGGATTAGCACAAAAAAGTGATTAGTTTTTGTGTTCAGTCTTCACATACTCACATATACAGTCTGTTTAATAAAGGTTAATATGATTAACCTTGATTCATAACGTAGATGATTGTAATAATTCGATTTTGTCGAGCATACATTAACCAATCTAACTATGAAACTGAATTATTTCTTCCCTATTATATCAGGCATGAGAGAAACTAAATCTTACAGTGTAAGTTTTTCAATAAACTGCCATTAAAAATCACTGAGAGGGAATGCCTTAGTTTCACATGATGTCTAAAGAACTTATGGACTAATGTTTTTGGCGTTCTTTAAGAAAAGTCATGGATACCCATCCACCTAAACACAAATTAAACTGCTAGAATAAAAAAGGATTTTTTGAAAAACATTATGAACTAAAACCATTTTTGTTTGTCGAAATGTTCTATCCTTTAGATACATAACGCTCAAGAAGTGATAATAAAAATAATATTATATATAAAGTTTGTTGGGTTCAAATAATGTCGTTTTAAACAGCTTTGAAAAAGTTGTGATTTATGCTGCAAGGTGAATACCAAACTGGTTAATTGATTTAAAATAGCACTAATCTCATATAACTGTATCCATATTTTATGAATCAAATTTAATAATCAGTGTATAATATGGCACTTCGACGACATGTAAGCTTGTTAACGTTTAATTTGGTTAAGCACTTTTATTGACCTATTTTACATACACCATCTGATAAGATAGCCGTAGTGATAGCTTGAGTGAAATTTGTTTATGACAGTTGTGTCCAATAAACTTGATAACAAAATTATTGAGAATATAAACGACCGTAAACACCACTTCTCTGTACTGTGATCTGATTAAAGATTTGGTGTAGTTAATGCTTTTCCAATAGGAGTTCGTTTGCACGTATGCTTTTCAGTAGAATGGGTTGTATTTTACAAATGATATTTAATGATAATGCGTTAGAAATGTTTAGCTTAATAATCAAATTTATCTACATATTTTTTGTTGTACTCACGAATTTCTTCTGGAATTATGGAATCATTATTCATATGTAAAAAATAAAATATGTAATTGTGAATGCAAATTAGTTTGCCAGAATTTTTTCTTTGTCAAATCCATCAGTTTCCTTACATATTTTCACGTTTTTTGTATGTAACCTTATCATTACACCTGAATAAACTCTAAGTATAATATACGGAAATGGACAGGATTATTTATTTCATTGCACACTCAAACATTCGTCCACACTGGAGTCCGGTTGTGAGCCGCTAATCGTCTCATAGTTTCTACTGCTAACATGATTCTCTATTTTTATTTAGAAACTAAGCGAATTGTATACATGAACGAAATAATTGTGAAAAATAAATTCACTAACAAACATGTTGATCGAACGGTTTGACGAAGTGTATTCGGATGTGTTAAATTCAAAGTAATAAGATTACACGTAAACTTGAGGCAAAAAACAAACAAGAAAATCATAAAACAGAATATAAAGGGATATACAGAAATATATACAGAAATTAGTTGATATGGCAGAGAACGTGATTCCACAATCTGTGTTTGTATACAGAAATCTAGCTTTTACACCATATATCATCAAGGTTTCTGCTACCATAAATGAAAATTGTGGATACATGCTGTTGAAGGTCCGGTTTTATTTTATACATAGTCAGGAATACCGCCTGGTCAACTTGGTGTTTCAGAACAGATGGTTTGATACTTTTGCATGATCCTTAACTGAACTACACGGAGAGGAGCTATTTCGTCTATTGGTGGAAATCATGAATTCAATTTGAAATGTAATTTTGACGGTAAATATTATCGTGAGATGACTTCGGTTGCATAACTATCACGAATTAGCTGTTGAGGCTCATAAACGGTACTCAATCGCTATCCTACCTGAGCTAAAGATTTGGACTCAGCAATCATATAATTATGTGGAAATACTGTCTTTAGAAGTACATAAATATCTCAGTCAGTCTAGCTGTTAAAACTGGACCACCATCCCTAAAAATCTCAGGGGTCAATCTGTCAGGTACGGCTGCTCTCCTTCGCTTCGGATTTCCTATAGCTTTCTCAACTTCGTAAAGACTCGAAGGGCTTACGTCCACTTGCCATTCAGGATGACTGGAGATCGTGGGTAACCGAAGTGTGGCTGAAGGCCAGTTGAACTGATTCCTGAAGTGTTCTGCCCATCAGTCCAATCTCCTGGATTAAGAATGAATAATAAGACCATCCTTTCCTGAGATAGTTTCACTCACTTTCGGGTTTCTAATACCGGTTTCCTTGATAAGTCTGAATAGTTGCCTATCACCACTGCCTTTTCCATCTTTCTTGCTTTCGCTACCCACCACTGTCCGCGATCAGTGTGTAGGCTTTTTATCACCCTGTGCTTAAGCTGACTTCGCTCTTCATCATGTGCAGAGTAAGGTGGGATGAGGTTATCAGCGTCTATCAGTTCGATGGAGGCCACTGAGATCCGTGGCTTCTTTCCAGCCTTATGGTTTACCTTACTAGCGGAAATCGCTGCTGTTTCCACAGCTTTTTTGATATCATTCCATGCTGCCTCCGGATGAGAATCACTTACGTCGCCGCCTAACTGGTTTTCTAGTTGTTCCTGAAATATATTCTTAGCTTTGTTATCACTAAGTAGTACCCTAATAGGTTTCCTTGCGGTGTCCTTCCTACGTCTGGTGCTTCGCAAACAAATACGTGCAGTCACTAGAGCATGACCTGAATCTAAACATGTGCCCCAGATCGTGCGACAGTCCTCTATTTAACCCCTTCATCGGTGGCTGATAGCGATTATTACCTATAAGGACAGTATTTATCTCCAAATCATGATTGCGCGACCGATTTCCTGATGCCTTATTTAAATAAATCTATGAATTTAAATAAGTAACAACATTGGAAGTATCTTCAGATATAGCAAAAGATATGAAGTTCTTGGTGAAAACCTAACGAGCATATGATATACGGCGTCTAATGTCAAAGTAATCGATCTCTCTAATCTCTAGAACTAAGTAAAAAGAGAAAACATAATTTTTGAAAATTTATTCAGGAAAGTAGAAAATACAAACTGTCAGATCACTACTTGGTATTTGTATTATTTTCTGTTGTATTACCATTTTGACTTTGTTCTGAAACCTAAATGGATAAATGGAAAAATTATTAGTTCACATTTGATACGGAAAATTAACTTGGAATGTATGGGTTTATAAATAAAACTGATTAGTGTCATAATTTGCTCATGAACTATTATAGTTTAAAACGATTAAAGACTCGGTAGTGTAGTGCTTGTATCAGGTTGTGCAGCATTAAACTGGAAGCAATAGCAGATTTGAAGGAGGGATACAAATGAAACCTGCAGTTAGAAAACATTAATTGGGTTTTTATATTATACTGGTCATTTTTGAATCTGATTATTTACTTTCTAATAACTCTAATACGCAGGTTAATATTCCCCAACATAGCAGTTGATGAACTCAGTAACCGCGGTAGCATCTCAGATAAGCCTAAATTGCCTTAGTCAGTCAGTCATCATCAACATGTAGGCAGACAGAGACTTGCACTGGTCTAAGTTGCCATACCATACCAGCACGGCAATAACTAATATGAATAAAGACAGAATAGAGAGGTATACGAAGGAATACTGGAATTCAAGATCGAGAAGATAAAGAGTGCAACTTCATGTCACCTGAATCTACTAATAATCACAGTTACTATGTAACTCATATCTAGGAACACGGTTCAGATCAACAATCGATGGCTTTGTAGATTGACACCATATTTTGGCTCGACTACCGCTGGCTTCCACCCAGCATATTATTACATAAACAAACGATGCTCGTGGAGACAGGCGGCGGTTAGGTCTATGTAACAAGTTCTCTGGCGATGAAAATTTATAAGCTTATCAACTGATGTGAAATCCTACCTAATTGTATGAGTCTAACCTTAAAATTATTCTCGGCAGCTTCACAAAACGCAACCGATGCTCGGAAGATAGCTATGACTAACAACCTTCAGCCTAGCTATACCTTTTACTTTCGCAATTCACGCTTCATAGCCATAAAGTTATAAAGTGAAGTATTCATGCCTTTTGGTTGACAGATGAAAATCTTGCCTACTCTACATATTAAGTCAACAAAAAAACAGTCAAGCTTCTTGAGTCTGTGTTGGGATTTCGTCATACACCAACCTACCAGGGCTTATGGGACTTACGATAAGTAGAGTGATCAACACAAAACTACTTCACTCCGTACTATTAGTTCAGGTGTTGCTTAAAAGGAATACTGTGTTAAAACAGAGCAACACACTTCAAAAGAATAAATAACAGAAGCGAACTTAGCTCGTAACTTATTTTTAGTCGAGAATATAACAGAGTAGCTAAGAGAGATAGAATTTCAGCTTTTCTAAGTGAACGTTAATTTCACACTAAAAAATATCATTGGTAAAGATGACGTGCGTTTGGATGTTTCAGATTATTGAAAATTCAGTGAACATCTGTTTCAAGATGTTGGAATCCGTTGCACAGACTCAAGCTTTCTGCAGTTCTGATAAGCAGAATGTTTTGTGTAGAAAGGATAATCAATAAAAACATGGAGCCTTTACCTAATCTATACTTCAATTCACTAAATGTCCCCGTTAAGACATTAAAAAGACAGGATGAGCGAATGAATCTTTCTTTTCAATTAGTTCTTCATCAAGACTCTACACTAATAGGTTTGACACATGAGTATGAGTAAGACGTCACTACCAGTTAGACTCATTTAAAGAACATTTATATTAATGTTGGGCCTTGATAAAGAAACAATTGAAGAGAAATATTTATTTGCTCAACTTGTCTTTTTAATCCATATTTCTTTCACTGCTTTTTATACCTCAGTTAAAATAGACAGATATGGAGGACTGTTCAAGGCAAAAGTCTTTCATCAATACGTACTGCAGTGTCGCACGAAGCATCTTGAGTAGCAAACATGGAAGGATCAAAGACACCTTGGGTGATTGCCATTTCAGTTTTAAGTGAGCTTAGTTCACTCAAGAAGTTTTGCGCCACCTCTTGTTGCACAGAGGGAGTTAAGGAATCCCAGTTATGAAGGTAAGTCCATGGTTCTTCAAGAACTTTCTGATATGCTATTGAATTCTGCAAACACGATATATCCATATGAGGAACAACGAATTCATCATCTAAAGGGCAAAGAAACAGTAGTAATATGCTTAAGCTGTAAGATAATGAAATACGTTTAGCACTCATTCACTGAAAGCAGATAGCGTACCAAATAAAATATAAAATAAGGAGTCAAACTATCGGGACACTACTGAAGTTCAAGGCTATCTAACTTCAAACAGTAGTGATAAGTTATTTTTAATCAATGAACGAGTATGTGATAAACTTTAGAGAAAAGTAAGCTAACATAAACTGTCCGCTAATTCACAAAAAAATAAACAGTAAAGCTTTACATAACCATTTCTTTAGTTTGGATTAGACTTCTTTCACACTGTCAATATAAGAAACGGTTGGGAATCACTTATATACCTAACGTCATCGCATTAGTCTAATAGTTAAAACCGTAAGCTATCGAAAAGAACTGAGCTTTATTCACACAATCTTTGAAAACCACGCTATTTATTTCTACGAATACGAAAGAAAGGTCTTGTTCTAAAAGGACCACAGAATCATGTAATATCGCAAATTAATATAATCTGGTACATTGTCTACCATGAACGGTCAGAAAGCTTGGTAAAGAGCAGTTTAGGATATTCAACTAGTCTAAACGTTAGATATTTTCACTAGAAATATTTGTAGGAAGACCTAGTTGGACGTTGACTAATACGGTTTTGTCTAGTATACAAGAGGGTATTTGGACCTTGCCATACACAATAAACAGGTTCACAGAGTTTGTTGGTTTAACTATGCCTTATTCTTCATTCTAAACATCAACAAGCAAAAATTTGAACATATGCATCGAAGTTGAAAACGCCTGCATGTTTGGTGCTATCAGTGATGGGTTCCAGATCTATCTTTGCAAATTTGAGGAGTGGTTATTCTATTCGAGTTTTATTTTATGTAAACTATATACAAGTTAGTAGATGACTTTTGAAGGGTAAACAGAATATAATATCTGAAGATCTATGCTAAAAATTGTATTTAGAATGTCATCAATGTCAAAACTGAAGAGAAATGGGCAAACTTGCCTAACCTCACTGCTAGATTGGAACAATGTAGGGGTAGTTGGTTGTATACTGTCTTTGTGACTGATGTATTTGTGTAGATAGCTTTAAAGGTGCTAATAAACTTCTAGGCCATATGGTTCTTTAACAAGCAATTAAAAAATTCGGTCAAGTCCACTTCATTAAGGAACTCCTTATCACTCAATCAGGTGACAAGTACTCAGTTGTCGTGAGTAATGTCTAAACACTTCACATTTTCGATTTTTAATACAAACGCTATCACTGAATCAATCAACACAGACACAAACCTGAACATTAACTCCTCTCGAGTAGTAAAAATCCTGTGGTTTATGCTTCCTTTTTTCAAAGTTTACATTCAAGTTGTCAATTTCACAAAAATATAAATTTAAGACTATTTCGTTAGCACTACGAAACTATTTAGTTTTTCAGGGAGAGAAAATAGGTGATATTATAATTACAACCTTGAGAACTCATGACTTCAGGTAGTAAAGTAACGCTACACCTAAATATAGTGCAGGAAAAAATGTCCAATATTTAGCAAAATTACAACCTTGTTCTCATATCCGGTGATGTATGAAATTACGGTCTTTTGTTACAAAATCTAACTTTCTGTTTCTAAATTCTTATGGCTTTCAAGAAGTCCACTGTTTTTACAAATAACGATTTCAGTTTGCAAATGAAAATATGTTAGAAAGGCCGCAGATTTATCGGGACATAATAATCTCTTCTTCAGCTTTTCTCTCATGATCTACCCCTCTTATAAGCTACAGTTTTATTCTAGGTAAACAAATATCACTGACCGATGGTGGAATATGCTACATTATAGACGATCTTAGTGTCCTTAATCGTCAGGGTTGAGTGCAATCAGATAATACTCTACAAACAGAAAGAGGATAAGCAAACTAGAAGGTCATGAATGTCTTAGTTGTAAGTTGCAGGTTTCTCTACGAATGATCAACACTGTTCTTCCAACACCAGCAGTCATATTACGTTAAAATACACTATTTTTAAATCTTTATCGGTTACGTCATCCAGGTCACAGTGTAATGGTAAATAAATTCTCAAATTAAATAAATCTGTAGGTCTTTGATGCTGTCACAGATCTAATACTCAAAAAACATTTAATAAAAAGGCAGTGCGTGACCGGCCTCAAGCAGTTGCCTCTTGGACTCTGCGGTCACGCTCCCAGGTCTCCACGACCAACACTAATGTACCTTCCCTTTTTCAGGCTCTTCAAAAAAAAACACCCTTCAACGGTGTGTGCAGCCGTGAAGTAACATCCTCCCTCATACCCATAAAAAGCAGCGAGACCAAATCGATCATAATCAAATCCTTCCTACAGCCCTAGTATCTCTCTTATATCTTTACCGAATAGAACTGTCATGTGGTTCAGATAAATTGTAACCTTTGACAAACGTTATGAAGGACTAAGTTGTTCCCCTCTTCGTCTATATCGCAGCTCGATGTACTTTCGTTCATGCCAATGTTTGTGAACATGAATGCGACTAGACAAACGTCCAAATATGGGACAGCAGAAACAAATGCTGTTTTTATTAGTGGCATTATTCCGCTGACAAATAACACCTTTCGTCTATTTTTCCAAAAGTGATGATTTTCTCCCTCCTCTTCACAATAAAGTAAACTAGGGAGTTTCAGATTTTCGTTTGTGCCTCAGTTACTGTGTGAAACAAAATCTCTTATACTCAGTCATCTTACACTCTTTACGGTTTACATAGTTGGCAGATGTTTCATACTATGGTGTAAGCTTTACTATAGATTTTATTAATAATGATAATCATAATTGGTATTCATGAGTGCATGTTGGATATAAATCACATCGTGTTTGATCACCTAAATTACTTCAATAATTCATACTTCATGTTAACTGGTTCCGTATACTCGAGAAAGAAAGCAGGTTGACTTCAGTCAGTAAATATTAATGTTTTTGTGGCTACGATTTAGGGTAAAGTGTTATACACAAAACTCAAAGTAAACGCTTATTTTAAATGGTGATAAAAGTATTGGAGGGAAAGAAATGTATTAACATTTGGCTATAACTCGAGGAATATTTGAACTATATTGCAGATAAAAGAGCACAGCCAAGTGGTTGAGTCATCGATTTACGAGATCAGAAACTGACCAGCGCTTCTTTACAAAGTATAGTGATATCTTAGAAGTGAAACACTGTTTCTTCTAATTAGAATATGTAATCAGATTTCATTGTAATTAAGGACCCGTTTTGTCGTAAAGAAATTACAATGACATGGCTTTTTGTGCTTTGCCGTTATCAGTGAATGTGCGTTGTTTCTTAGTTGATAAACAAATTCGTGGTTTATAATTTGACTGTGAGAAGTCGTATATCGTGCTGTAGAAAAACCTGAGGTCGTCCTTCAACTTATATGTAGGCTGTCTCATTCCGATACGGTTCACCGAGGCAATTCAAAGGCATTAACAGTAAGCCGTATATGTCTGCTTAACCTTTTAATTACTTTTACACACTCAATCCATGAAAGTACAATTATTTCAAACTGAAGAAAATCCCGATAAGAGTGAACAGCAGCAAGCTGTTCAATGAGATACTTATGTTTAAACCTGCCTGTAGTGTACAAACGTGTACTTGTCAGCGCCATCATCACTAACCATCCCATCCTCAAATTACGCTAAAGACTTGAATATACACAAAGTTTATTAGATTCGATTGGTAATTATTTACAACAATATGAATATAAACTCCCTATTGCCTTGTATAAACGCTGGATATTTAGTATCACTATGTGAGGACATTGCGCTTGTTTTCGATTAGTTAGTGAAGGTGCCAATTGTATAAAAATACCTAGTCTGCTAGATATAAATGAGGAATTGGCCTCGTAACCGCCGATATCTACATGAAACTGGGAAAATGGATTGGTGTACTTGATTCATGTAACCACTTGTAAAGGTTTACACTTTCGATAAGTAGCGGTTTTGCGCGGAAAGGGGTGCTGATCGGCTAACAGGTGCTTGTAGGGCGGAGGGGTTGACGTACAGGAAGCGGCCAATGAGGCTGGAGTTGTCAACGAGATTCTTTAACGTCGAACTGTACCAATAGTAACGAGCCAAGTTTAGTGCTCGGGTTGGCATGCCACACCAGTGTGGTTCGTATCCACAGTCAGAAGATTGCATTCGTAGCGGTCCGGACCAGAAAAAGCTGCAGACGTAGGACGGAACCAGACTGAGCGAAGTAGCCAGAAATAACCAGAACGACCAAGTTCGAAACCATGCGTATAAAAGAACATTAGTAACCAAAACGTAGACTGAGTGCATTGAAAAGAGCATGGGTGATCAGGCCAGCGTTCACCAAGATTGACTGAAGTCAACGGTACCAACAGGGTGATGGTCACAGACATGGGCTCAGGACACAAAATGAAAGAACAAGAGAAAAGTGTAGCATACATGTAGTACTATGAAGTTTCCGTTGTTGTGTGGGTGGTTATTCAAGAAAACGTACTGGTAGGCCAACTGTGGTGTTTGAATGAACTAGTAACTTCTTGTTGTTGTTGAATACTTGATTTCGAATTCTAAATACAATACATTCGTTTGTGCATATCTTTAGTTCTTGATTCACATACTTCTAATTATCACACTGGCGTCGCGATGGAGCTTGTAATGGAACAGCTAGATATTCATTCTACTTCTGAAGCTTTTGAAGATTATTTGGAAAGGTTTGAAATCTGGAGTATGACCAGGAAAGATGTCAAAGATGATAAAATTGTGGCTCATTTCCTGACATTCATCGGAAAAGAAGCGTACAGCTTATTAAAAACCTTGGCATATCCAGAAAAACCTATTTCACTTCCCTATGCAATGCTAAAGGAGTTATTATTGAATAATGTAAAGTGCCATGGTTTTGAATGCCGTGAAAGGGCGAAATTTCATAAGATGATTCGTCAAAATGACCAAAATGTTAAGGAATTCATTCTTGAATTGCAGAAACAAGCTGTCAAATGTAATTTCAGTGATCAACTTCATGTGCAACTGAGAGACCGATTAATTGCAGGAATTAACATACCTAGTTTAGAAAAAGAGCTGTTAAGAATGTCAAACTGTTCCTTTCAAGATGTTAGAACTGCTTGCATTAACTACGAGGCGTTGAATGAACTTGATACTCAGTCGATGAAGAATTCCAATGCTTTGATTAGTTGTCATGATGAAAAACAATCTCAGGGTCAATCAAAATTGTGTTCGTTTAACAGTGGTTCCTATTCACGTGTAAATATGAACGGTGTCTCAAAAAAGAATTACAAAGGAAATCAAAAAGGTGAGTTCAAGTTTGGCAAATGTTTATCATGTGGAAAACTTCATTCTTGTCATTCTTGTACATTTCGTAATGCTAAATGTTTTAGATGTTTTAAGATAGGACACATTCAACTAGTATGCAAAGCTACTGTTCATTTTGCCTGAAGTAGTGCTAAATCTTGTAATTTAGATCCCAATAATTCAGCTGATCCTAATGATCATTTATCTTTGTCTACCATTTCGAAAGGTAATGCTCATATTGAAAAGCGACTATATACATCGCTTGGTTCATTTCATGACTTTATTGTGGACACAGGCAGTATAGAGTTCATTATTTCATTCAAGAACTTGAAATCGTTAGATCCTAACGTTGTGGTTCGACCCACTGAAGTATCAATATTGGGGATTACTGGACACAGACTGCCAATACGAGGATGTTGTGAATTGCTAATAAGAGATGATGATTCCTCATACACATCATGTGAATTCTTAGTTAGCGAAACAGGACTGTCAATACTGGGTTTAAAGAATTTGAAAAGACTTAAAGTGGAGTTGTATTTCCTAGTTTCTGAAGAAAATTCTGATGCTTTACTTAAAGATTTGATAGCCACGTGTGCTAAGTGCAGTGGAGGTATGAAAATTCAGCCTATAAAACTTCAAGTACAGGGTGATCCAGTCTTTCTCAAAGGACGAATAATTCCTCATGGTCTTCGAGATGCAGTGCATAAGACTTTGAATGATTTGTGTGCAAAAGGTATAATTGAGCCTGTTCAGTCTTCAGCATGGGGTACTCCTATGGTTACGCCAGTGAAATCGGATGGAAAGACTCCTAGAATATGTGGTGACTATAGACTAACCTTGAACTCCCGTTTATTGAAGCAAACATGCACTACAGTAGAGGCTGAAGATATCCTAAATCGACTTCATGGTTCTAAAGTGTTCTCGAAAGTTGACCTAAAAGATGCTTATCTTCAAATCCCTTTAGATCAATCCTCATCTATTTTGACGACAATTAATACTCCTTTTGGTCTGTTTAGATACAATTTCCTTCCATTTGGTCCAAGTTGTTCTCCAGCCATAATCCAGGAAGTTATGAATAAGGTGGTTAGTGATCTTGAAGGTGTTGAAGCTTATCAAGATGGTCTGGTTGTTCATGGTGCTGATAAGGGAGTTCATGACCAGAGACTTAGTGCCTTATTGCGTCGTTTAATTGAGAATATTACAGTAAATCCAAATAAGTGTTCATTTAGTCTATCTAGTTTTGAATGTCTTGGATACCTAGTTG